TGCTGACCTACGAGCGCCAGGCCGTCTCGCCGCGCGCAGGGCGGGAGGGAGGAGACGAGAAAAAAGCGCTCGTTCGAGACGACGCGGGGGGACGCGCGTTTGACGTCGAGATCGCCGACAGGAGCGCGTCCTGGAGCTCGGCGCTGGGCGGGAAGGCTACAAAGGCGCCGTTTGCCGCTGAGTGCGCGCCCCGCGTCGTGATCACGTGCCCCTGGGCCGCGCAGTCAAAGATGGGCCAAAGGTCACGGACGTCGTTGACGTCAAAGTCGTTGTCGACGACGATGAGGGCGTCGTAGTCGGCGAAACCGTAGGCGGCGAGTTTCATGAACTCGCGGGCACCGCAGCAACCGCCGCTCTCCAGGGGAACGTCGGGGCTGAGATTTGGCGGCGTGATCCACTCCGAGATGTGCACGTCGACGCCGCCGGCCGCGAGGCGCTTCACGACCGAGCCATTGATCCGCTTCAACTGCAGGTCGCGTCGCGGCACGACGAAGATGACGTCGACGCCCGCGCGTCTCCCGAGCGCGGCGAGCTTGAGGCGGTGGTGTTCGTAAACGCCAAAAACTCAGACAGAAGAAAAAAATCATAGATGAATAGAAACGGCAGTACGGGGCATCCCGGAGATGCCGCTGAGCGGCTGTTCATCGACGACAATATCGAAAAACTTCGACTTCTTCAGCGTGGTAACAATATTATGGGGAATTACTATGTTGGAACCAGTCTGGTGAACAGATTCAAGAATGCTGACATTATGTCAGTCACAGCACCCTGTCAAGGAGACAAGGACGGAGTGTGCTACGAGAAGAAAATTGAATTTCAGTTAACAAACCCAGGTGGTAACTTTGAAAGAGCGGACATTTCCTCGGTGACTGCCTTGAAGTAGGCGGCTCTCATGTTCGCATTTTCCTTCAATAATAAGTTATTGAGATCTCCGATCTTTTCCCTGTGAATGAACGGTTTGAGCGGCCCAAGATTGAGCGGACCGTATAAGATTAATCTTCCATCCAATCGTGAACGGTTGTCCCAAATTGTATCGGCGCCCCAAATTTCTAGTACTGCCGTAAATGCAATTCTCGAGCGTGGGGCCGGGCGAGGGATTTCTACCAGCGTGCTTGTTGCCTCTATCACTTCTGGTCCTGCTGCTTGCCTCGAGCGCGCGTGCTCTAGCATCAGAGCCGCCGCGTAACGAATGTCAGCTGGTGGTGATATTGGCGGGCATGCCACGGGCTGGCAGCACATGGGAACAAAAGCTCGTGAAAGCTGCGTTGGTAAAATTGCACCTGGAGGTCGCGCACGTGTCTTATTGGGACTACCCGAAGCACGTTAGCATGAATTCCAGAGACGCCGAGCTGTGGTACAACAGCGAAGCGAATTCTCTGAGTCGGTTGACGCGAAACTCAACCGTGCTGTTCAAGACGCATGA